TATGTGCGTACAGATTATCATTAAATTTTTGATCATATTCTAGGAAAAAGAAGGTGAGGTAAACAAATCTTCTCAATGTGAAAAAATGTTAACCGATTCAAATAAGGGATCACGGGAAAAGTAGCTTGCACTCTTCGAGAAAAACGCGTGAGACTAAAGAGAAATAAAATCTTACTTCGCTCTCGAGCTTTCTATAAAAAAAAAGGAAGATAAAATTGTGTGTGCGTATATAGTGTGTGTGTATATATATATATACACACAATTTACATAAGTTATATATATATATTTATTTATTTATTTATTTATTTATTTATTTATTAATATTTATTATATATTTATTCTTTTAGGAAAAAGAAAATACATATATATTTCTTTCTCTGTCTTTATCAGTCTTTTCAATTTTATTTTAAGTTAAGAAATCGTCGAGTTAACACAAGAGGTCTTCGAGCAAACGATGTTTTATTCACGTGTATATGTGTATATACATGTACGTCTATTATATAATATATAGAAATATATATATATATTATATAATACATAGAAATTTTAGTTTTAAGGGACAAGAAAGTTTTCCTTGGTGAACACTATTAAGCGATCATGAAAAGAAGAAGTAAAAGAACTTGGAATTTGTTGTAACATTAACTTCTCGAATTGACCGACGTATCTTTGATGCAGAAGATTATAAAAGGGAACCAAAGCGGACTGTGTTCCCATGTTGAAGATGAAATTCGCAAGACATAACAAAGCGGAAGTTTAAAAAAAAAAAAAAAAAGGAAGTAATCGAAGTAGATAAATATTACGTACTTTACTGTCTTATAGACAGTACTTTACTGTAGATAAATGTTACGTACTTACTGTCGAATAAAGAATGAAAAACAAAAGAATTTGATTTCGAAGATACCTTAATTTCAATTTTCACGGTGAAAATTGAAATGAAAAAATTTCTATTGAAAGAAGAAATTTTCAAGAATCAAGCAAAAGCGTTCTCTTGTAAAACTGATAGAAAAAAAAAAGAAAGGAAACGGAGAAGAAAACGAAAAGAGAAGAGTGAAATGAAAAAAATTAAAGGAAAAAGAGAAAGAGGAAAGGGCAGGAAAGATACTACAGCCGGAGTTGCAATCAAAACGCGTGGGAGTTGCATCTCTGCAACTCGTCTCGGGAATTTGCAGTTGCGAACTGATCGTAAGATCGTTCATAGAAAAAAATTAATTAAATAGGCAATAAAAATGTTAATGACAAAGATGTTTTCTTATATATATATCATTATCATTATCTTACTCAACGTACTTCACACTTCACATTTCATCTTTTTTTTTTTTAGCAAAAGATAACTTAGAATTTATTATTAAATATTTGAAATTTACAGGATAAAACGATCAATCGATTCAACTTGAGGAAAAGTTTCAACAGAAAATTAGCAATTGAAATGATTCCACTCAGAGAGCTGGGAAGTATCCTCGAAGGAAATCGACATACTCGATAAATGTGAGCAAAGAAAGGATCCCAAAAAAGTAACAAGAGAAAAGAATGTAAAAGAGAGAAAAGAGAAAGAGAGAAAAGAGAAAGAGAGAAAGAGAGTGAAGGACAGAAGAAATGACAAGAATTGCCAGAAATTGTGGTAACGTTTCGAGAACTTTACTTACACTTTTATTAATATCCATTTCGTCTGATCGTAAGGTTAATTGGATCCTCCAAAGACCGACATCGATAACTCTCTCCCCAACTCCCTGCCCTCTCCCGCTCAAAGCTTTTTCTTGTTAACGACAATTTTGTTAGCAGATATGAAAGTGATTTGCAACACTGACAAGAATAAAAGCCGTTCTTCGTACATTTCTCACAGAATAAAAAAAAGAAAAAAAAGAAAGAAAAAAAGAGAAAAAAAAGGATAAAGAAAAATAAAAAAATAGTTGATTACGGCTGACCAGGTACGAGAGAGGAATCATTAAAGAAATATCGTAGAATGATTACTCTCGGGGTGTTTTATGCTTTATGTCTGAATTTAACCAGCAATGCAACCTATAATACTCTTCGATGACGTCGAGAACACTATTCTTTAAGATTTTTCGATTCCTTTTTTCATTGTTCTTTAAGCTAAGTAAATGTTCGTTTTGAAATTATCGAATTTCAAATCTCCCGCGAAAATGAAGAGATGCTCTGTTTAGTTAACGTACACGTCATTGTACGTCATAACGTGTTACGTATTAATTTAATTAATTATAATGACGTGGAGTGCGCGCATCGGAAATTCGAATAAACGAAATTCTTAAGCATTACATACATTCGAATGATTCGAACATATCGAATATTAGTCAATAATTATTTCGCAGTGATAGGCAACACCAATGTAAATCGTATAGTAGATATTATCAATTGTAGGGAAAAAGACAGAAAGAGAGATAACTTCCACGTAAATATATATGTATTTATCTTAAAGCTATTTCCTACATCGTTCGAAAACTTACATTTAACTTCTCGATCAGCTGTTATTTGATCAATTGATATCCTAAACAATTTCAATATTCTCTCTCCTCTTACTTTTTCTATCCACTAATTAACATTAGTTTAACGTTATCTTTTAAAGATAAAAGGACTTCATTGATCAGCAATTTCTTTTTGTACGATCTGTATTAAAAAATGAAATTAAATAAAAAATAAAATAAATAAATAAAATAAAATAAAAATAATATATTTGAAAAAAATAAAATAAAATAAAATAAAATATATATATATATTTATATATTTATATATTTGCCAACAAATATTTGCCACATTTAAGAAAGATAATCTACTTATGAAACATCATCAATCATCGATAAAAGTTCAAATTCAAGATGACAAAATTTTACACGAGAAAGTTAAAAATCGTTTCTCCCAAAACGCATAACGATGAAAATTTCATCGATGTTGTAAAGAGTTCTTGGTAACCGACTCGTTACCAATTCTCACTTTCTCCGTTCTCTTCACGAGTCCCGTCTCATATTTCTTTTCCTTTCAAATCAATCCCGGAGAGTATCTCTGTATATATGTATTTATATATCTTTAGTGAAAAAAAATAAAAAAAATAAGAAGAAAAATAGAAGAAAGCAACAGAGCCCCAGGGTGTCCGTGCGTTGCCAACTGAACTGTAACTTTTTCTTTTTTCTCACTCATGATATATATACAATAGTTTTTCTCCCCTTCGTTCCTTTCTTTTTCCCCAACATTACTACGAGCACTTGAGCAGGAACGATCGAAGAAAGGGCAGCGTCGAATAATACTGATGAATATGGCGACGAAGAGGTGATGTTTTTTAAAGATGCCACTGCAGCAGCACAAGTAGTAGTATCAGAGAACGAAAAAAAACGCGCGTATTTTGAATAAGATCGAGGACGATAAATGAATCGAGGTCACAAATATACCCAGTTTGCCCATCGTCTGGATATTAGAGTCCGTCGCCTCCAACCACTAAGATATGTACTGAAGTTTTATAAGCTTCCATCGTATCTGGGCCGAGTACTCGCCGCAGGTCACGGACAAATTATGAAAGGACCGAAACCTTTTTCCTTCAGATTGTCTGTCAAAGCTCCATCCATTCCGCTCTCTCTCTCTCTCTCTCTCTCTCTCTCTCTCTCTCTCTCTCTCTCTCTCTCTCTCTCTCTCTCTCTCTCTCTCTCTCTCTTTTCTTTCTTTGCATTCGCACCCGATCAATCTTTTTAATACTAGATAAAAATAAAAACTCCATAAGAGAAACTACATCTTAACACTTTTTTTATTCTCTTTCACGATTCTCTACTTTTTGATTATTTTACCATTACGAAAATACAAGAACAGTGATTTCTTTCTACTGAAATCTACGAGCTACATCGAGAAATAATTAAAATGAGAGTGCTGCGTTTTCGAGATTAAAATAAAAGTGGAGAGAGACAGAATTTTAAGAATTAAAATGTGGAGAGAAAATATGAGTATTGTTAAAATCATTCTACGGGGCCTACCTTTTTCATTCTTGAGAATTATTCAATTTTTACCGAAACTGAAAAATATTTTCCTTTCTTATCCCTTATTTTTCAAACTAAATTTTTAAATTATTCGATAAAATTGCAACGCACAATATTGCCACCTGACGGCACATTTTTAAACTCAACTGTACAGAAAGTAGCAGTAACCAGCAGAAATTATTCAGCAAAGTCGATATAAGCGGTATTGACTTTGTCGGATATCCATTTATCATCTAACTTTGCTTCGCATTCTTTTCCATCAGAGAGCGCTGAATAGACTTTCTCTTACGGTAACACCATTAACTTTGATTTTTAATCTCGTCAGATAAAACAAATGTAAACTAAAAATAAAATTTCTTTTCCTTAATATGTATATCGCGTCTCATTGTGCTTTTTTATCGTCGTACATTTCAGACTGTACGCGTCAGTAACGCCGTCCATCGGTATAAATAGGAACATTCAGCGATGAAACTTTTTACCGAGGAATGGCGATCTCGCCGATAAAACAAGCTTTTCTCCAGCATGATTATCAACAGTGAACATGATTAGGAATAGATTGAATCATTTTTATGTATACTAAAACGATTTTACGTATATAAAATCATTTGCTAATTCAGAATATAATAAAAAATATCAATATTATTTATAGATATAACGAAGTAAAAAGAATAAAGCGTTAAAAAGAAAATAATGCGCTTCTTTTTCAAACAAAAAATGAAAAGTAAAAAAGCATGAAGATAAAGAAAATACCGACACCACTTGACCGACACCAATAAACGAATGTTAAAGCGTATAATTGAGAAAATCGCTCGACTAAACGCAGCATCATTGTTCATTCAAAGCAACTTGCAAGCGCAGATTTTTCAATTGACGAAAGAAACAGACCATCTAACATGGTCGAAGTTAAAAACGAGTAGGACTAATTCGAGTTCTTAAAATATCACGATACAATGACACGCTGACGTGACCTAACCTCAATATGACCTAAAATGGAAGAGATACAAATTTCTTTAAATTCTCACTTACGCTTTAAGAAAAGAAAATGGATGCCATGCGATATTCCAAGAGACTCGTATGACACGTACCTAAAACAGAAAGAAAAATAATTCGTTAGTAATTTCAAAAAATAACTCAAAAAACTTATGATTAAATAATAAGTTATAATAATCATTGTATTAATTAATACAATCTATTTTTCTTCTCTTTTTTTTTCAATGAATGTACGATAATCGGATTTGTCAAAACGAATTAGAAATGAGAGATTGAAAGTCTCGAATCAAATAATTATGGGTTCATAGTTTAAAATATAAATTGTTCATTTGTATATATACATCGTTAATTTAACGATTGCTTGTGCTTTTAGTCTATTCATAGTTCAGAAATCGAAAAGATAAAATCTTCATCTAGGATCTATACGTTTTTGTCACAATGTACCTCGATTGATTTTGTAGTAGCCCTATATATATATATTTTTTTGTTTTATATATGTATAACACACATATATGCAATAAATAACTACTATGTCTGTAGATATATCTACATACAAAAGAATTCGATTTTATCTGATTAACGTTTACAAACCAACTAACATGACACACAACGTACTGACTCATTTCTAACCTTTGAATCATGATATCTCCGATTTTAGTCTATTCGTTAAAACCACGTATATTAGGTGTGTTCAACCCTTCACGCGTACAATAAAATTAGGTTGGTACGCGTTAAAATACCTGTTATATATCTTTACACGATTTATAGGATCTACGTGATTTACCTACATCCTTCCTTTTATTCGATCGAATTACCTATTTTTCTTATTAATAATGTAATTTTAATTTTCTATTGTAATCAAAGATATAATAATAATTATACAGTTTAGAACTTTTATAATAACTAATTTTTATTATTTGAATGAAAATCTTTGAAAAGTTGATTTCACCGAACGAATTTTGCATCAAAATATATTTATAAGGTCTTTCATAATATTTATCAAATTAAAAATGTGAAATATTCTGTTGATATATTTTCTAGTAGAGACATTCTGGACATATAATGTCATTAAATTAATGGTTTAAAAGAGACATAAGATAACAATGTATTTATCGTTAATGAACGAACCTACCAGTACTCAATATGTACATATGTATGCATGTATATACGTCAAAAGCGATTTAGATATAGGTCTTCGATTAGATTTCCGCGAAATAAGCTCGAAGGTTTACAAAGTCGATATGATGAAAAAAGAGGGAAAAAAGATAACAAGTTCGCTATACGATACATACGGTTTACGTTAAACTCTCTCTCTCTCTCTCTTTCTCTCTCTCTCTCTCTCTCTTTCTCTCTCTCTCTCTCTCTCTCTTTCTCTCTATCTCTATCTTTATCATTATCTTTCTCTTCCATAACGAAATTCATACATTAAAAAAGAATCCTGGTCTCGTCCATTTCGAACAGTTAAAGATAACTACTTAAAATCGAGAAAACTAAAGAAGTATTCTTCCATCTTAGAATCAAACGTGATAGAACCATTGTTTATCGTATTTACTCATCTTTGTCCCTTTGAAAACAATCATTTCAGACGTAGATTCAAGAAATTGTCTCTAATTATACGCAGAAACCCTATGATCTTCTATTTATCTAAAAATCAATATTGATTATAAAGTTAAATAGAACTCTCGATGTACGTATCTATAAATTGGTCATATTTTTATCTAATTATCTTATCAATCCAATTGTTATTTTAATTTTCACAATCGAACTTAACAATGACTTAACTTTTCTGTTTTGTTGCTAAGCAAATATGTCTATTTACGATTCTCTATAATCTCTATAACGTTTGGAAGAATTTTCACAAAGACAAATCGTTAACACAAAATTCTTCGAAAAATTCTCTTCTTCGCTAATAAAATATAAAAACAATAATCTATAAAAAAGATAGTATAAAAATTTATTTATTAAACGGCGAGGAAAACGGCGATGAAAGTACAACATATAAATTCTATAATAAAAATCTAATTAATTTTAATTACTAATCTCTAAAATGAAATGTAATTTCAATTGTATGTATATTTAAACACAAATTTGTCGTCAATCAACAATATAGTAAAAAAACTTTCTAAACACACATACGATAGCGGACTGCGAAAGAATTTATTGATGCTAGTCGTGATTACGAAACAATAACACATTTACCGACTTTTTTCACCCCTTCTTCATATATACACATGTACATATACGTATATACATATATACATATATATATCGATACATAAGTATGCAACGACTTAGCCGTATAAGTAAATGCATTTTTAAACTAATAACAATCATCATTATTAATATATTTATCACATATATACATACATAATATATATGCATACATATATGTATCTGTAAGTATACCAATTCGATGTGTCATTAATTTTCACGAAGTATGCTTATGGAAAAGCCACGCTTCTTTATCCACTTGTGTTCACTTACAATTATACGACAATCGAATTTTCAAATGTATCGTCCACGATTGTTATGTGTCCTTAAAGTAATAAAGACTTCAGTCGCTCAAAGAATTTAATATTACAATCAAAATTATTTCGTTAAAATAATTCTTATTACTTTTCAATATATATGGATATAAATAAAATATGCACAAATATTTAAAACACACATGTATATCTGTATTGAAAAAGAATGAAAATTTGTTATATTTTATATTTTATAAATTGACAAGTAAAATTTACTCGACACGTAATTTATTCGATAAGTAAATTATCCAAGTATTAATCAATAAGTAAAATTATCCTGAAATATTTTCTTCTTAGGGACTGATTTTGTATATATATATATATATATATATATATATATATATATATATATATATATATATATATGTATATATATACATACATACATACATACATACATACATATATATATTGTATTTATATAAACATCCATATATAAAAAAATATATCAGGAGCGTTTTACTTACAGAGTTAAAATCACGGCTTCGGCTTTCCACTTCTGAAAGATACAACGAAGATAATATTGGATCTCCGAGCGCTATTTCCGGCCTGTTGGCGATGCATGAAATTTACACATCCACCCACTCACACTCGCAGCGTACGCGTGCGCATACACACACAGACGAAGAGAAAGAGGAGAGAGAAAGAGAAAGATAGAGAAAGAAAAGCAGACTGACAAAAAAGAAAAAAGAGATAGAAGGAGAAAGAGGAAAAATAGAAAAGCTGTTATCAGTGGTGAGAGCGTTTGCAAGCTTAAGAACGCTAATTATCATAGCATATTAAAATTCATTTACGTGCGAATAGATGGTCGATACACGTGAAAGCTTTCGCATACATTTGATGGCTCTTGAATTTCGAACCATGCGTGCTTTGACGATTTTGATGCAAATAGGAGAAACCATACATTAAAAAAGAATAATATGTAAAAAGAAAGGAACGCACATGAAAAAAAAAAAAGAAAAAGGAAACGAATCTGAAACCGATCTTTTTTATGATTCGTTAAAAGACCAGTTCGTGTTGTTATAAAAATGAATCGAATGAAATTTCGTGGGAACTAAACCAAAAGGTCATCTTACAAACACGCACGCGTGAGATACAGACTCTACACACTCATTTGGCATTATATTACACATGAATAAATACACACGTATTTGTATACATTAAATCATTTTATACGCTCATTCATTTACGCGGCATATACACAATTCATAGACGCAAAGACACATTTTATATATTCATTCATTTATACAAACATAAATACATACTTATACATGCAACACACATTTTATACGCTAAATTATTTACACGAATACGGACACACGCATTTATACACGTAAAACACGTTTTATGTGCTTATTAATTCACACACACACGTACAAATTTGAATATATACACACATTCACTCATTTATACATACATACAAAATACACCCAGTCAGAAGATATTTCATTCGCTTTAAACGAGGGAAATAGTAAAGGTGCATTTACGCGAAGCAGAAGGTGTCGGATTGTACGAACCTTGAAAGAGTCGCATGAGGGTGGTACCTTTGAAACACGTGCAGCCCATAATATATCCCATCATCGATGCGTTCTCTTCGACAATTTAGACACTTTTCGATCTTGTTCTCTACTTTCTTCTTCCTATCCTTCTCTTTCTCCACTTTCTCTTTTTCTTCCTTTCCCACCTCTTGCTCAAATAAAACCACTCTTTCGTTCCAATCTAACGAAATCGACGAACGAAGCAAAATAATATGAGCTAATCGAAGTCGAGTCTTTTGAAACCTCTGGCACATCGCTTGTTGATACTTTTCTCCTTTCTCTCTCTCTCTCTCCCTCTTTCTCTCTCTCTCTCTCCCCCCCTTTCTCTCTCTTTCTCTCTCTCCCCCTTTCTCTCTCTCTCTCTCTCTCTCTCTCTCTCTCTCTCTCTCTCTCTCTCTCTCTCTCTCTCTCTCTCTCTCTCTTCACGAGTTCTCTCTTCCTCTACGTTCACGCACCGATTTTGTTCACGAACAAAATTTATTTGTTCCCTTTTGGTAGTTGATTAACGGTGCACGAGTTCTTGTCTCGAATATCGTTGTCACCATACTCCAATATCATCGGCTAAAAGAGATTACAGCTCTCCTTCTTTCTCCTCTTCCTCCTTTCTCTTTCTCTTTTTCAACGTCACCGGAAACCAACGAATAACGCTATCGAAAATCACCGTTGGAACGGGACATTACCACCTCTGCAACCATCAACGTATTGATCCATATTCTGACTCTCTCTCTCTCTCTCTCTCTCTCTCTCTCTCTCTTTCTCTTTTTCCATGATTGTACTTCCATTGTCTGTCTCCCCTTTCCTCTCTAGATGCTTCGCGATCGTTTCATTTTCGTTTCCAATCGATTAACGCACATGTACTGATAGAAGCTCTGTGTGGGAATGATGAAAACGTCGAATATACGTATTTATCTAACAATACTAATGATAACAATGTTTATTAAAAGAATAATGATAAATATTCAAAACAAAATAAATGGAATTCACTCTCACTGATTTGTTGAGTTCTATTTCTACCTACAATTTATTTTTACTCTTCGTAAACGAAAAGAAATAAACAAAAATAGGAAGACCGAGGAAACGATCCTAATAGAGAAATTGAAATAAAGATCATTATGAAATTGCGAAAAATACGTAAGAGAGGCAATTCCAACAAGTTTGATCTCAATTACTCTCAAGTTAAGGTCGATTCAAATATTTTAGTTCAGTCTCCTTCATTTCACTTCAATCTCCAGTCACTTCAAGTCATAATTCGGTTTCAGTTATTTATATTCCAACATATGAGTTCAATATAGTATCAATCTGATCATACACATCATACTCTATGAACATCGAGAGCGTAAAAGATGGAGATGGACGGAACGATACAAAATATTCTTTGTCGATAGACAAAAGATTGCAAGTTAACAAAGTTCAATTTATACATTTCAATTCAGCTTCCGTTTCGGTTTTTCAGCCGCAATGGTTTTAACATTATTATATGTAATTTAAATATACAGATTCATACATTTCCATTTAATCTCTTCAATTACCGATTCGTCATATTTTCTCTGTGCCCGAGATCGTCCAAACTGTCGTCAACGAAGATTTTTTGAAATGACACAGAATTCTGATAACTTGGAGTCTATTGTCTATGGTACGGCAAAAAAGGGGAAAGATAAAGAGAACAGATTTTCAATTATTTCCGCTATCTCCACCTTTAATTATTAACTTGTGACATATTATATTCGTCCCATTTTTTCAGCTTATTAACGGGAAATTGCTTTTTCCTACCATTATCAATTTTCTGCACGCAAATACTATTTTTTATATTACAAAGCTGTCATTTTAATAAAATTTTACTGTGATTAATTAAATGTATTATTCTTGTAAAATTTTAAACATGTCAGAAAATAAAGAACATTTTCTTCATATCTGCTTTTTTATTATCAAAAATGTAAAAACGCATTACAAACTCGTAAAACAATTTATACTGTATATTCAGCCGATGCTGTAGATGATTCAATATGCAAGAAGTAGTTCCAAAGATTTAGAGGGAGTAATTTTCAAATATCAAAGATGCATTTCACAAAAAATACGAACTGATTACAAAATTTTATTAAAAAATTAAACAAACAACTGAAATGTTACTTTTAAATAAAAGATAATATTTGCGTATGTTAAAATGAAACTGTTATGTCTAAAAATCCTACTCTGTGAACTTTGAGAACATTAAAGGCGAGAATTAACGGAGCAGTAAAAAATCTCGTTTATCCATAGACAAAAACGTTATGAAAATTTCGTCAAAAAACAATGATTTCGGATGATCTGAGACACATAGAAAATATGACGGATCGCTGACTGAATTGAGACTGAACTGTATGAATAATAATGTTAAAATCACTGTGACTGAACAATCAGAACAGAGATAAAGCGGAGATTGAACTGAAATGTGTGAATCGATCTTTATTCTGCTTGCGATTGTCATGTTGCGTTAGGACAAAGTTCTAGATCGTTGAATAGAGATACTAGGTCAAGGGGCAGCGAGGATGTATAACAGCAAATATGTAATAGGGAGAGATCAATGAAATACGTTAATAGCGATAGAAAAAAAAGCAGGATATTGCGGCATATGAATTCACATATCCACTCGAAAACATAACCATTCGATTGAGACTTTGTTTACAGAGCATTTATTAATCTAGCGTAATTTACACGCAAAAGCTGGCGTATGACCTGCTTTATGAATTAGCTTTCGGTTCGCTTCCTCGATGCTTTCATGAATTTTACCTTCCCAGTTTTTTTTATTGTGATTTTTCCGTTTTTTCTGATGCTAAAATGTTGAATAAAATACATGGAATGAAATAAAGAATTAAATATCGACACGATATAAAAAGAAAAGTCATTTTTTTTCTATATTATTAGGAGTGAATATTTCGATTTCTATCTATTGTAATTATTGCTAATAATTGATATATATTATAGTATAAGTTATAATACTATAATAATTATTACTAAATATGTATAAACAACGTGTCCTATTTGAAATTTCACACGTAACTATTTCTTATAGCTAACTATAGCTCAAAAAATGTTTTGAATAAAACTTACTCCGGTTTAGGGGATTGAGAGGAGATACAGTCATAAATCTTCTCTAGGTGCACATGATTTCAAGATTTGGAAATGACCTTTAATTTTTTAAATGGAATTATATGCTTTTATTTAAGTAGACTATTTTACAACGAATTTATTGATTACACTTTGATCTTTTAAGGTACCTAAAGAAGATTTGTGACCACCATAAGATTCTCCCTCTCCCCCGAAATAAGCTATTTTATGTGAAACATTTTTTGAAAGGAGCTAGAGTTCGAGTAATAATTGCATTGAATAAGAATTTCAAATGTGACACCCTGTATATGTAGCATTACTATATATTATTATATAATATACATTATATATTATAATGTATAATAACTATACTATAATATAATATATAATAGCGGTATTTATAAGTGCATAATATATACTATAAAATATCTATATATTACTAGTACTATTAATATTATATAGTTATCCAAATATTATTAGTATTATAACTATATAATACACTAGAATTATATAGTTATAATACTAATAACTATTACTCAAGAAATAATAATAATAATATAGGATCAGTATATATTATATTACTAGATACAGTTAGAAATAGTGACCTAGAGAAAGCTGTATGTAATGTTATACATAGGAATATTAATAATTATAACCATAGAATTATTAGAAGATAATAAATCCACAGTGAATATTTTAGATGGAAATAATCAAAAGCAACAGTCAAAAGAAATAGTTAATGATTAAAAATAATAATTAAAAAGATTCTTACAATAAACATTATAAGATCATTTAGCGATATACGACTTTTATCACGAAGTAAGCAAAGACGAAGAAGTATCTTCCTGAACAAATTTCCTAAATTGAATTTTCCAAGAGAGCAAGCGACTTCCCTTCGATTTTGTGAGCCAAATACATACTCGAGGACGAATCGAAACGATAGACTATGGGAAATGAAGGAAATGTCTATCTATCTCCCTTTTCCTTTGGAATATGTGAGACTCAACACAAAGTCGAGTGACACTTTTATGATATACATATGCGTGTATATATATATATATATACATGTTTTGTGTGTGTGTGTGTATGTGTGTGTGTGTAATAGAATATTAAAAGAAACGATATTTTCAATTATGTACTTAAAATTTATTAATTTATAATCTACTCGCTGTCCGAAGCTTCAGAAAATTTATTTGCTTTTGAGTCGTTAAGGGTATCACATGCAGATTCTTTTAAAAGATCCAATATGTTTGGTATATACATCGCATCGTCAATATAAAATATCGCCGTAGATATAATTAAAGATATAATTAAAAAAATCAAAGCGTCAAGTGGCGAACGTATTGGTTATGCTTTCGTGCTTTGTGTTCCGTACGAAGCAATCAAACGACACTTAATAAAAATTGAAATTTTTTGACCTATGGCATCTCTCAGAAGCTAAAAATAGTACATTTTATAGAAAATAAATTACCTAATACAATAATAAAAGAAAAACATCAACGATTAACAACAACATTTTGTAGGTTTACACAATTTGTAAATTTTTTCTATGAAGTTAAAATATTAATTTATATTTATATTATAAAATAATGAAGCATTATTTTACTATATCTGAAAGTAAATATTTTAAGAAAAAATATACAATATAAACCATAAAAATATATTACTAATAGATTTCGTAACATAGAGTAACTTCTTTATCGTAAATAAATTACAGCTACATAATCTTTCAAAAAAGATCTCCGTCAATTTTGAACAAGTACAAAAGTTATTAAGCTTCATAAAATTAATATATAGATGTATTTTCGGTTGTTATAGAGCTTCTTTAATAATTTGTAATAAAAAAAGATTTTACTAAGGTCTCCAAAATGATTTTTA